CGGAGAATATAAAATTGTATTTTCCTTCCGGCTTTGCCGAGTCCCGACTTGCATTTGCACGTTCGCTCAACATAACGACTTTAGAAGGAGAGGATTACGTTCCGGAGTGTTTCCTTCCAGAGTGCAATGGATTATGTTCCGGTACTATTTCTTCAGTCGTACCAGCTGTTTAAGGTGGTATATTCGAGCCAGTCGTTAGTCGAACACTCAACCATTTACTACATCTACAGATTAACAAACGCAGCTTGTAAACGTAAACGAAGCATTTAAATAATTATTTGTAAGTTTATAAAAAAAGTTTTGAAAAGTTTCTCTAAGCATGGAAATATTTGTTTAATTGAAAGTGAATGAAGAATTTCAAAGTGAAGATATGAAAAGTTGCTCTGCAATTTTTACTAAGACATTTAGTGTCTCGCGTTATTTTTCATTTTCATAAATTGAATAATACTATAAGTTAAGATGATTCCCGCGTCTGTATTTTTCTTCTTTTCTGTGTTGAATAATAGTCCTCAGTATTTATATTGAAAGTGAATTATCGTCAATTACTTTGTGGTCGTGTGTGGTAGAAAATTTTAAGGTTGGACGATTGTGTTTCTCTTGTACCTCAGGATAAACAGCGCCGTCAATAGCAAGATTTGTGCATGATAACTCCTATTCTGTAATCCAGTACTTCCGGTTGGGATTACTTTTTCAGTCGTTTTTTTAATTACTTCTCATGATGCCCGGCGGTTATGTTACATTTAATATCATCTGGTTCCTCAAAACATTTACTACGCATTGAAAAAGTTACTTTCACCGTATAACTTCTTCAATAGCTTAAGAAACATATTCCTGCAATTATTTTTTCCGTAAGATCTTGTAATAATTTAACTTATTGTGTTAAAAAATTAGGCCGGTAAGAACAATTTTTTTCTTACCATCGTGAAGAACCGAGAGATCATTTTTGTGACTACTTCACCATCTTTGATGTTACGATCATACTACATTAAAGATCTGTAAGTTTACATTACAGGTACTAAAATATAAATATTTTCATGACATATCTTTTATACAAATGGACTCAAATTGTTTTACAGATGTTGCACATTTATTTCGAGCGCTTGTACGTCTGAGTTTTTATTGTAGAATCCGTAGAATTAACCTGCCCAACGTATCACACGCATTTAATCTCCACACGTGACATTACTTTCGCTTCGCCAACTCCCCGTGTGCAGTAGGATCACCAATTGTCTCGATGAGCAGGATGCAGCGCGTCATTATATGGCGTTTAATTTTGTGATGATACCAAACAAAGTCCGGTCGAGCGAAATACGTCCTGAACGAAGGCCGGCTGGGACAATGGAAAATTATCACGGCATTCAGCTCTGGATCACAAAGCGTACAGCACTGTGCTCCGGGAAAGATAAACTCACTCTCGAAAAACACTCGCGAAAATTTTTCTTCTGCACAAGGGATACAAATAATACAATGACGGAGAGCAAGGGAAGTCGATGATCTCATTGACATGAAATATTCCTAAATCGATAATGATATTAATTAATTAATTATATTATACAAATCTAAGAACATAAAATTCAAAAAACCAAATAATATATAAATTTAATAATCCATAATATTTAGTATTATTACGTTAAACATGTTAGCAAGTTACAATACTGAAATGTTACTTAAAAAACTTTAACAAACTTTTATATGCTTCATATATTATTACATTTCTCTTTCAAAGTAAACAAAATTGTTAGTCTTAGTGAAAAGCTTGAAAAACTATAAAACAACAGTGAATGATGAATGAGCTGACACAAAATATCTTTAAAATTTTTTATACATTCCAAAGTAACTCAAATTATTAAATATTTTGATTTCAAAATGTTCAACGACGTGAGTTTTTTGAATACATAAATAGAAAACAATTCATTAATAACGTCAACACATTTAGTAAGAATCTTCCTTCTAGGAATTCATTTCTGAATCACATTTTACATAATTTAAAAAAAAAATTAAACGTAATGATATTAAATATTCAGTTACTCTCAGCAAATCGTAGAAATTATATCCACCGTCCCCTGAAAGTGCAATATATTACTCCTTAATGCCTCCCATTAATGTCTGATTGTGTACACGGGAATACGAAGAAAAGACTGAGAGCAGCTGTGTTTTCAGGATCTAGAGAAGTGCTCTCGCGCGCCAGAGAGAGAGAGACAGAGAGAGAGAGAGAGAGAGAGAGAGAGAGAGAGAGAGAGAGACAGAGAGACAGAGACAGAGACAGAGAAAGTTCTAGGGGACCAGTGATGGTTCATAAAACATTCTAATGCTTCCACGCCCTAGCTCCGATTTCGCGCGAATTCTTGATGTTTTTGAGAAACGTACACAAAGCCCAATTAATAAAATTGAAAATCAATGATTTTTTGTGTTGCAAACAAACAATATAATTTTACAGCAATATAATCTTCATATTTTCAAATAATGTTTTTTGATTTTCATACATTTTAAGGAAAATGGAACTTGACAGTTTAATAAAGTTATTCCTAATTAATAATAAAGTCGTAATAAGAATGTCACACATAGATATTGATCTAGAGCCAGAAATTAATTCTCTTTGAATGGGAATTTAATTTAATTAAAAGTTAATATGTTCTAACAAGCTGAAATGGGAAAAGAATATTGTTATGATACACAAAAAAACACAATACAAACATGATGTAGCGTAGCATGTCATTAGTCAGTAAGAACATAAAAAGAGAAGCTTGAGAAAGAAAGTAGTGTTTTCAAGTGAAGAGGAGAAAAGTTACCACACGAATTCTTATATTAAAGGAAAAGAAGGGTACACTGTCAGTCAGATGAAGAAGAAGAAAAAGAAGAAGAAGAAGAAAAAGAAGAAGAAGAAGAAGAAGAAGAAGAAAAAGAAGAAGAAAAAGAAGAAAAAGAAGAAGAAGAAAAAGAAAAAGAAGAAGAAGAAGAAGAAAAAGAAGAAGAAGAAAAAGAAGAAGAAGTTCAATGTACAAGATTCAACATTTATTCTCCACCAAGTAATTGCGATTCCACAAATATGATTTTAGAAACCAGTACACTAAATTTCTCTTTCAAACTTGTGCAAACAATGTATCAACTGTATCCCTCTACCGTTTCTGTTGCATGCATATTTCATTCCGGAGCATCATACGAGGAACACGAAAATGGGGTTCCCAGGCATTTACATAAAACATGCACAAAAGCTGCCTCTAGAAATTCCATGGTAGCTCTGCCACCGCCAACGGAATTCAGTGCCCTCTGGCAATAACGCAATTTCTCCCTCGGAGACTTACAAACGCGTATACACAGGTCGGAGTCCATTCTACACATATACACACACATTAAGAGGGCAACGACCCGTTTATCCCGTGGCTATTGGTTCAAATGGTGAAGTACATATGCATAAAAGATGAGGGAGCTATGGGCTAACCTCCTAAATTTATATGTTTCATCTGATTTGATCTAGAAAAGAATACGGCAGAACAAGGAAAATTATTATCGCCGGAGCACACATATATGCGTTAGACATAATTAGATCCACACAATGAATAAAGTTGAGAGCTACCTGATACAGCTCATTGCTGTATCCCAGAGTGATTATGGTCGTATCCGCGAGCTACGGTATCTGCTAGTCGAATCCCGCCTTGGACACGGAAGTACACTGAATTCAGTGCCATGGTATGGTGACGCCTATCACCATCACTATTTTTATAACATCTTCAATATCCTATTTCTTTCCATCCCGAATATTGTCATTTTGGGGTATGTATGTGAGTATACGTACTTTAATGAGCCAAATGACTGACCTTAGCGCCACCTAACCACCGCCAAATCTAACTATCTAGCGATAATCGTCCTAGTAGGAGACAATGCTCTGCGGCAGTGAGCATACGAGGCATAGGAGAATTATGCAGTGTGTGCTAGTCTCCCTACGGTGTAAAAAGCCAGGGGGCTTAGGACAGCGACCTACAGCTGTTAATAACCGAAAGATTAGGCTGACGTAAAATGCTCGACGACAACGTTGATAATGATGATGATGATACTCTTTAAAGGTCAGTTTGTTACCCAAACATATTTGTTTTCCAAGAACACTTGAGCTCTAAATAATGAAAAGGTATATAAAGACTATCTTTTGATAACAGTATGGACTAACTATAATTGGACTTGGAGTTCTTAGATCTTGTAACTAATGTTTCCACATCAATTTAAAATTGATTGAAATTAAAGTTTAATAAACGTTGCTAAAATATTGCCGGGAATCAAGAATCAAGTCTTAGTATGTTCAAGAAATAAAACAAAACGCGTAACTAGGTCAGATTGCATTACCTTGATCAGAGTATACTCACTGCACTACACTTGTGTTTGGTGGGTTGCCTATATGCTGTCAAGCAGGAAAGCGTAGGATTATCAATACTTACATCCTATAAACTGAAGAATTCATACGGTTTATAGAATAAGAATATGGAATAAGAAGAGGCATATGTTCAGCGTTTTATACATTGTATAATTATGACATTTACCAAGACAACTTTTAAGTTAATTCTTTGTAGATGGGAGAAATCAATAAATATAATCTTGTTGAAATAATGAAGATGTGCATATCAAAAACATTAGTTGTTTCAAGGAAACGTCCTTAGCAGAAAGTAAAGTAACAAGAAAATCATTGATTCGCACTCCAAAAATAAAAAAATTCTAAGTACGAGAAAATGTCAGCGTGAAATTACAAATAGCCATTAAATACTTATTTGATATCCTTGACAAAGAGTTTAATTAAATCTATAATATATATTTATCCAATAATTACTAGATGGTATGGTAAGTGGTAAGTGGTATAATTACTAGATGGTAGTAAGTGGTACAATTGAGAAAATGGAAGGTCAATGGAATATTAGCGGGTGATAAACTACTATTGGTATGGATTAATTCTGAAACAACATAATCTTGGGAATATCTTTTCTAATGTCTTTTTATGACAATGCAAATGCTCTTACCGTTGTCGTAGTTGAGGTGACAACCATGGCAGAGCTGAAAAGTTCAGTCAAAATGAAGACTGTTTTGCTGCAACCCAGGTTTCCAGTCTCTTCATTCACGAACTCCCCATTGACGGTTCTGAAACATCAGAATATTCCATACAATATATTTTCATTAAATAATTTAATAATGGTTATTGATAACGTCGCATGAAGTCTTAGAAGAAATGTATTTGTAAGGAAGCATTCATAAAACGCACAAAAATGCATATTCTTAAAAAAACAATTTCCTACAATTTAAATTTATCAATAAAATTATTGTTTATCAAATACTTTAGAAAAATTATACGTGCGTATTACGTTTTAAACATTTACTAACAGATTACAGTTGTTTAGACACAAAGGAAACCAAACAGAGAGCAAATATGAAAAGCCATTTTTAATGCCTAAAGCCTGTTGAGAATGTTAGTGGCTGCCGTTCTTTTTAAAAGAAATAAATTTGCAAAAAAAAATAGAATATGAATTCTCTAATGTGAGAAAATTAATTACTTACATTATTTTTTAATAAAACTAGGATGTTAAGAAAATTATAAATTGTTAAACACGGCTTTTCAATGTAAATAATTCACTCAGATCATTATAAACGTGTGTTTCTCGTTGTACAAACTTCACTCTCGTCGGTTGTGTGCTCTATATCGCCGTAATGAAGTTAATAACAGTAACTTTAAATTGAATAATGAGGACGAACTTAATAATGAGTTAAATTAATTCTAATTGAAAGAACCAAATATCTGTCGATATCGATTTGTTTAACCAAACCCAACGTTCGTGACAGGACATGTAAAGCTGTGCAGAAGAAGCGGTGGTTTTCACTTCTTCTCACGCCCCTCCACCCCCTTCCTCGACAAGCTCTAAATGCCTTCGCCGCCGCAGCGGCGAGCGCGAGTGCTTTGTCATGCTGTTTATTTGAGCTCTTGAGAGGTTCAACTTCCCTGCTGGATGCTCTTCCTCAGTAGCAAACAGGCCCTCGCACTCGATGCTCTAGCCACAACCCCATCTACGTCTCTCTCCGTCACACACTACTTCCTTAGGACTGTCTCGCTCATCGTATCTGATGCCAACTATTGTCCCCGGAATCTGTTGAATCCATCTGGCCCATTTTCTCACAAACGTTTTTTCCAACCGTTCTTTTCCAGACGATTCCCTTATCTGAAGTTGACAAACTCGTCTTTCAGTTGTCTCTTTGTATTCTTTCACTTTTATTTTCGAACATTTTTCATCGACTTCCTGTATGTAAAACTACAAATTTCTACTATTTCGGGTTGTTTCCTATAATTCGTCATCACTACTTGCCTCTTACTTTCGTAATTAGTTCAGTGCAGAAAATTTATTCTTTTTATTTTATGATGTCCAGTCATACACATACTGTGTGTTACTGGAGTACTATTTAATATAGCTCTAGTAGTACTTCGTTTTCTGATACCACATGAACAATGTTACGACGCTACACAATATTTAGTTGATGACGTCGGATAAAACGGAAACAGAGCCAATTCTCTCAATTTAAGCTATTTATATTTAATTGACACGCTTGAAAGAAAATTGCATTGAATGTAGTGGTTTGTCGTAATGAAAATAGTATCAAAAGCTGCTCGTCAATTTGGCTTCCTCATTAATAGTAATGTTTTTTTTTCTTTTGGGTGTGATTATAGTCCATTTCCAGTCTTGCGTTATCGGGCAATTACCGTACTGACAGTATTTTGCGGTAAACGAAAAATAAAAAGAATTATCTCTTATATTCTCCCTCAGGAGCCAGCTTGAAGCTGTGCCCTTCGCCCCGCCTGGTATTACATTCACTCTCTAGAAGCGGGATCTAGAGTCTTGGGAGGGGGCTTCCAGCACTCCCTCACCATTTCCCCTCTCTCTAGTTCCCCAGGCCGGGACCGTGGATAACCAGCTGTGGTAGCCGCATCTCGTCTCAGCTTGTAGTCAAGTTATCGCCTAGACGCCGCTGTGATCGGAAGATACTTAGCGGAATGGTGGTTAATGACAGGATAGAGTGTGGAATGCATGATGGAGAGATCAGGTGGAATGCACATTAACAAGGAGAACGGGAGTACCCCCAGAAAACCTGCCAGAACACGGTTTGTCCACAACAAATTCCATTTGGAAGCGTCTAGGATCGAGAGTGGGCACCTGCGGTGGAAGGGGTGAAGTCTGCCCACTACGCCATGGAGAGCCCCTGTCTTTTGCGGAATACAGATTAATTATTTCCATATATTGATACGAACGTTTCACCAGACGGTCGGCATTGATTCATTATATTCATTATATTACATTATCCAATTAATTATACATGAATGCCACATTGCTAAATAATAAAATATGAGTGTTCATCAGATTGACAAATGTCAGTACCTTTCGCACTGCGATATGTATTAGATTCTGTACATCTGGTATCTTCAAAATATAATATCAGTTATATAAGACTGAGACGTATCATTGCATTACACAACGCAACGTAAAAGTGTAGCCTGTGATAGTAAGGGTCTCAGGCAACACTTTTACGCTTTAATGTCAGATAATAAACTCTCATTTAGATTTTAAAATGCTCTTGCCAAAATTAGTAGCAAGCGCGATTACACATTACATTGTGAAAACATATACAGTAAACACATATTTCCATCGTACTAATTCACTGAATATTTACGCGCTGAATGAAGAAATATGAAAAAAGTCAACATGAACAGAGAACAATACCTGATGATATTGTTTACATGTGAATGTTAAATGTTTCATTCTTAAAAATAAATATTATTTAATACTTTGTCTGTGATATTGGCTTAATAACTAAATGAGAAATTTTGCAGTCTTCTGTCACAATTGTAACTCATTACCTAAATACACATTTGAGAATTCAAAATATCCATCACTTATCTCAATGGCTACTGCATCTCAATACGGTAAGTTGTGTTAGGTATTTTCCTCTTGCAAAATCGTAAGAGTAGTTCAGCAATTAAAAATTCCACGCCCTGTGGAGACACAATTTTCGACCCCCACGACCAGAGACCAACATTTCTTCTTTACGAAAAAATACGTATCTTTCTGAACTACAGCGATGTCTCTGGGGAAACAGAGATAGTGACGCGGTTAGCATTCACTGCACGACACACTTTGATTACCCGCTCGAGCGGACTACAGGAGTAGCCCAGACTTGGCGCGCAAGCTGATCTGAGTTTAGTGAGTTGGCTGTACCAGTAGCTTTAGATAATACGTTACTCCTACCACCCAATCAGCGTTGGAGTGTAACATTTCAGATATTACAATTACATTTTACTGTCGTCATACGTTTATTATTACAGGAATGCCTGTGATTGATATAATGACGACATATAGAATTTGGTGCGAGTCGAGGAGATATGAAATATTGTGAGATGCTAAAAATCAGTAATAGGCGTAGTGAAACAAGATTTTAAATGTCATGGTAAATGTATGAAATGCTTGGACTTTCATTTTGAAAAATTCTTCCCTATGTTGTATCGAACGAAGTTTGAAAAGTAAAGAATTGTGAAACGTTACACAAACTCTAGATCGCAAGCACATAGTAGTCAGATAGTTTTAAAGTCAATTAGGTTGAAATTGTTGCCGTTGCGAACATTAGTGTTGTGGTTATAGGAACTTTGCCACGCAAGAAATGGGAAAGACGATACTAACATATTGTCAATCTCATATACTATAGTAATATTTTTTCGATAGAACAGCTAAACGACTCAGGATAAATATCAATGGAGAAATAGAAGTTAGTAAGTTACTAGACGTCGCGTATCTTCATTTTTCATCCGGGAGTCAATATAGATGTATTTTGAAGTCATGCATTAAAGTTCGAAGACTTTCATCTCTTACAAAATATAAACCTTTTGAAATTTAAAACTACGTGTTCAAAAGTGTGTACGAGAACTAGTAATATCAAAACAATACAATGTTAAATTGATCTACATTTGTTGCCCAAGCTATTACTTGCGTTTTATCATGGGAAGTGAGTATTTCAGAGTTAATAATTTGTCCCTTAACCTTTATTCTACAACGTACAGGTCAAAATGATCTGAAGGAGAGAAAAACGCGCATGCGTGACCGGGTAGTGGTGGAATGGGCTTGAAGTATTCAGCAGTTTTTCAGCCAGCCTCCCGGCGCATTTGGACGCAACATAAACCTTTGTCAGAAGGAAGTTGCCTTGTCAATTTTAAATGTAGTGAAACAAAACGTGGTTTTCGTCAATATGACCTTACGTTGTTTAATACGTTTTTTCAGATTTGTTGTAAGTAAATTTCGTTTGTATCAATTTCTACGAGTCATCTCTCACGACTACGTACATTTCTACGACTACTTTCTTTTTCCTACCTTATGAGGAAGGTTGCTGTAATTTTTTTTTAGAATTTCAGCCATGCAAAATAACCCCACCGCACAACAGATGAAGGAATTTGACGAGAAGTGGAAAGAATGAAAACCAGCGATGATACTGATGAATACTTTTCTAATGAAATATTAGAAAGTTAAGATGAAAACAATGTGTTGCCAAGCAAAGGTAATGAGTCAGAATCCTTGGATGTTCTTTCTGGATTTTGAGCAATATCAGTGGATGATGATTATCCAGAATAATTTCCAAATTTACAAAGAAGATTGAGAACAAAGTAGAAAATTTGGCAACTGGGCATAGATAGAGAGACTATTTGGACCCAAGAAGAAGCCGTCCCAAAGAAGACGCTCGAAAGCTGATGGATGGGGTATCATTTCTTAATTATCAACCAAGTAATGTTTGTCATAAATGCACTATACACTATTGAAGAGATAGATCACAATGAAGCCAAATACTGATTTGACCGGCTTACAAATACCCTTGAAGTGAAGGTGCAACATGGTCTTCTATTTTTCAGTGGTGTTATAAAAAAATGTTTACTGTATTATTTATATATTATAGCTTTTATAGCGTTAAATGGTGAAAAGTATGTATTTTGAAAAAAAGATTCCATGGTTTCTATTGAATCCTAAAATTGACAAATTTCATAAAATACTGTGAGCGGGTTCAAAACGACTTGACGTTGTAGTACATGTCCCGGCATTTCACGTTGTAGACCAAATGGT